CATCTCAGAGGGTCAGAAGCTATCGAGCGGACTTCCGATGGTCGCATGGCTCACGCATGACTCCATTTTTGGCTTCTCCGGGCGCGCACGCCCGCTCTTGCGGCCAGTGCCCATGTCAACCCGGCCTTGAGTGTTGGAGTGATTTATGAGGGAGATTCACACAGGGAACTCAGAAATACGATGTACACTACTCGCTAATATTGTCCTTTGCCCATGACCCTCGTCTGGTTGGATGCACCAAACGAACGACATGGGCGTGGACGGAAAGGCAGTTTAGTCACAAGATGTGACGCTGTCGCTATGTCATGCCTCCTTGATGGTCGATATCAAGGCAATCAGTGGAGTAATGATCCGACCCGCATGGCTTACAATCGCTACATTGGATCCGTTTCTTCTTCATTCCTTCGGACACGATAAGATGTGCGGGCTAAATAGCCACCGAGAATACATGTGAATAATCTAATTTGATACACTGGGCTTCACGTGGGCACTGCGGCCGTTGGGGATTCGCTGACAACTCCGATCTCAAAATTGGTGCAAAGCAGCCCAAGAGTTCCCACTGTCTCGTTGATAGCCCGACAGAGTGATCCAAGCGGGAAAGTGTTTGTCCTGTTTGCCCATACCCATTGCGCATCTGGACGGGGCTCCGCAAACTGCACCACCACCCTCGACGGATCGAACGATTGGGGCTGGACTTCGGCGTATTTCCCGATGTCTGCGTCAGATTTGGCGCAATCGTGACCGATGATAATGACCCGTCCACGTGCAGCACTGATACAACGTCCATCGGTAAGCGTTCTGACTGGCTCGAGACATTCTGCCGGGACAAGCGCGTCGGTAAATCCACCCAGCCGAATCTGCACGAATTTCAGCATGAACGCATGCCGGGACCAGTTCATCTTCTGTGAGGGCATGACAATGCCGGTCTTCTCCGCATGCTCAAACGTCTTGCGATTAAAAGACAGGAAGTAGCGACCCTTCCCGCGCCCATTTATCTTAGCAGCGTTTTTTGCACTCTCAAGTGCTGCAACGGACTTGACCTTCACGTCGATTCGCTTCCCTTGGAAGGCAGGGTTCGCCAACCACAAGTTATCGGCAGCAAAGACATCTAACGCTGGCGGTGAGTGCTCTGGTGCTGGTCAGGGATCACGGACTGACCTAGTTCAGAGATAGGCTCCTGCGTCGCCGCGTCGAGACCTGGTGGTGGAGTAGACGGGCGGTGCATTGCCTTGATGAGTTCGGATAGGTCACCGAAGAACATGGCCTGTCGCAAAGGTAGTAAGACTCTAAGACAATGCGCATGTGTTAATAGCATTCCAGTCTCAGCAACAGCAAAGCACTCACTCAGGGTGGACAACCTGATCCAAGCGCGCGATAGCCGTTGCTCCCCCGTCGAGGTAAATGATCAACTCCACATTCCGCTCAAGCTTAGATTCTGGCTTAAGGGTTGGTCGTTTCGAGCGCTGGATATGTTTGTAGCCAGCAATCACACCGACTAGCCCCTTCTGGATGTGTTGACCAACGATCATGACGCGTTGACCGGTGTAGCCCCGCCCCGTGTGGAACAAGTCTCGCTCGATCTTGGCTTGCCTCTGGTCCTTCTCGAGAGCGAAGCTAATGTACTCTGGATCGACCTCCATGGCTTGCCAGCCATGGCCACGTACTCGTTGGTATCCGGTGGTGTCTGGTGGAAGGAGCGTGATTTTCCAATCTGGGACTCGAATCTGCACTGATGTTCAAGCACAGGCTATTGACAGTTTGCCACGGCAAGCACTTACAACCAGATCCTCTCGCGATGCGTAGGCCACGTTGTTCAACTGCAAGTAGTCAGTATGTAGATTTTCAATATGCCAGTTAACTATAATTACCTTTCGATCGTCTCTCACAAATGTCCCGTCGATACGCTTCTGGATATCCCCAATCTCACACTGTTTATTTCGACTGAGTATCAAACATATAAACTTCGCAGGCAGACTCACTGGGTAGATATCCACGGACCCACCCATGTTGACTGCGACAATAAATCCGATAACGCCTTGTTGAGGCCCGGTTATGACTTGGACTACATCTCCCGCTCGAAACTCAGTGATGCACTCTGATCGTTTGACCGTGCCTCGGCAGAGCTCTCCATTGGGCTTGACGCCATGGAAGTCGACGGTTTCTGATGACGCGTCCAACCCCATTACTCGACCTGAAGCCGAATGAAATGGCGATCGCCCAAACACCTTGATTCGAGAGTGGTCACTGATCGACCGAGGCGGGCAGAGGACATGTCGATACAGGGAGGCCATCGGCACAACAAACGACTCCTTGCGCCTCATGGATCGCGCCGAGACAGCGTCGGTGCCGTTGTAGTCTGTGAATACCGCGCCAAGGGCAGACTCGAATGCGTCGTGGGAAGCGATACAGACCAGGATTCCAGTGCGGCAATTGAATCGGGATCTGTCGTCGTCGACTACAACGAGGTCCCCCACCTGCAGCCCAGTCTTGGGCGGGACATGAGAAGGGACATGGAGCAGGTCCTCATGCGCGGCACGGAACAAGTCGAGCTCATCTGGCGTGGGCAGTGGCGCCTGTTCGCGGAAACCGAAGTCCTTTCCTTTAACCACTTCGAGTCCAGCCGCAGTGAAGCGGCGGTTTCTCCACACCCAGAGATTGTCGACAGCATCGTAATCGATTTTTGCGGCGGGATGCATGTCCTGCACGCGTTGCTTGCTGAAGAGGGCGGGGTCTGGTCTGCTCTTCTGGCCTGGCCCACGAATGCGAGGAACAACCAAGCAGTAGATGTTCTCGTGGATAGCCCAGCAGGTGTAAGCCAAATCTCCTGCAAATAATCCTTCATCCAGTCGGACAAGCACGCCAATGTGCTCCCATCCTTTGGATAACGACAGGAGGCGACGCTTGTCCCCCCCGCGCACTGGCGACTTGATCATATTGGGCTTTGAGTGCTGCCAACGATCAAGCGCTTTGGCGAGCCAAGCACGGCGGCGGGTTTCAACGTAGACGAAACCTCCAAACTTGCGAGGATAAAACACGGAGTCGAGGAAGTCGTAGTGGCTGAGGAATCGGGTCAAGTCAGGCTCTAAGCCTGGCCGAACAAGAATTGGATACATCGGGGGGTCGAGCGTGTCGTCTGGCAAGCGATACAGGTGTTCCGCGTGGTCCATGTCCTCATCGGTCGGACCAGAGTCGTGCAAATCAACGTCCCTCGAGGCAATCTCCGCACGTTTCGTACGGGAGTACCGGGCTGCCCATTGCTCAAGCAACTCGTGCTCGGATGACGCCGAAGTCTGGGTATCCTCAGGACTGCCCAGCTCCGAGTGCGGACGCTCGTCGTAGACGCTGTCACGAGATTCTGGATCTTCTTCGGTGTCATCAGCAACGAGCCAGTCCTCGACATTGTCATCGTTGACGTCTTCCAGGTCTCCCTCTTCCTCCGTCTCATCGGCTTCGAGGCTCAGGAACTTCAGGACTTCTTGCCTCCTGCGGGCAGGCTCTGATTCGACACGCCGTTTCTTCGAGCGATTTGAGTCGCTCCTCACACTAGAGATGCTCTGGAACGTAATAAGCTACATACATCTCTGTCAGTCGATCATATCGCACCGATTCTACCTCCACAAATCCGGTGCGAATGGGATTCGATCTCCCGAGAACTAATGGTTGCGGTGCATCGCCAACTGGTTCCGGTACATCGACAACGTGTTCAGTGGGCTGCTTGAGTGATTAGTGACCATGGGATTGTGAGCATAACAAGGCCCGTACCGAAGGCACTTCGCCACCGCCGAGTATACTTTCATTTGGTCGGCCAAAGAGCAATCCTTCCACTAGCAAGTGACTCTCAATCGCAGATTCGTGCCACCGTGACTCGACCTCTTCTTCGTCCACAACGCAGCTTGCCGCAAGATGTCCACTCTTTCGCACCTCATCATCCAGACCATCATCTGCGGAATCTTGTGGCTTGGGGACATCGGGGGTCGGTAGGACAAGGGGCGCAGCAAGACGCGACTGCTCCTGGACGATGCTGCCAGGCAGAGGTGCCTCCCACAATGATCGCGACGGTGTCTCTGGACGCAGGGTAGGAGATGGCGGAGGAGAGGGCTGTGCGCATGGTATTGAGACCGGGTAGCCCAAAGGCGATTGGATACACGTACCGTGGCAGGGAGGAATAGCGGAGTCTGCAGCCGACCCGGAATGGGGCTGAACAATCCGCTTGGTGTTCTCCGCGTCGAGTGTGCGCCAGACATGGAACCTTCAGGGCGAGGCTAAGGGCAATTCAATATCATAGCTGCCAGGCAACTTGGAACCCACCGTCCCCGGATTAGACGTTTGGCGATGCGCAGGGCTAGCGGTTGAGTACGCAGCGTCCGGAAGACAGTCGATGAAGCTAGCAGTGGGGCTTAGCGAGCCTGAGAAGCGCTGGTTAGTACTTACGCATGGATTCATCTGTGCCTGTAGACCTTCGTATTCTGGCGCTTCATTGGCTTTGATTGGTCTGACTTATAGGGCCTTGAGCCCAACACTGAATACAGACTATGTACATGCTCTACTATGGTACACGACGAGCTTGACTTACGGGGCATGAGATTCAAGAGCAAGAAACGAAATCCCGATCGCTGATCGGAGTGCTTGGCGTTGTGTATGGCTGATGGTTGGACGACCGGCATGATTTCTGTGCCGAACCGCCAACCATCAGTCGTGGCCACAATCATCAATTGTTGGTGGCAGTGCCGAATCGCATCTTGCTCCCAACGCCCATGGACTCATGTCCCACGAGTAGTGTTAGTACATAGAATTAATAGAGTCCGAATTGAGGACCAGTGAGCTAGAAATAATAAAGCCGGCCTACTTAAAGCTCACTGAATACCGTAGACGTCTGCTGGAACATCTGCCGGTCCATCCCCCACCTCAGTGGCAGGCCCGTCTTCCATCTCGGTGAGCGCTTTCGCTGTGCAGCATACACGCTTGCTGATTGACCTACCTGTCTCTGCACTACTCTAGCAATGCCCAACCCGCGCCACTCGTCGAAGAGCCCCGTCAAAGCCCAGGCGTTTGCGCTCAGCAGTGTACGACCGCCACAGCGACAAGGCGCTTGGCGTCCACCTCCCGTTTACTGCGCCGACGGTGTAACATTGTATCAAGACTACGTCAGAGCCCCACCTGGTCAGGTCGGGTTTGCGTTGAACACCTCCCGCCTGGAGAATCTAGAGGGCTGGGAGTCGCTGCGTGCCAACGATGGAGTTGACGACGAAGCTAACTACATAACACCTGTGCACTCCGATGCGGTGGCCGCCCCGACGGCGCACTCTGTGGCCCGAGAGAAGCAGACTACGCGCTGGGTCACGGAAACCATTCCCGCCCTACTTCCTGGCTACGTGGATCTCATGCTTCGAACGGAGCGTCTGCGTCACCTCGATCGTGCAACCCCGTATATGGCTTCATGCGTTTGCGGAAAACAGAAAGAGATCCGGGTCTACCTGCTTCGTTGGCACGGTAGGTACTTGTGTGCCCATCCATCGTCTCTGCTGAATAGTTGCAGATCTAGACAGAATTTCACTGCAGCACTGTGCCTGTCGCCCAGGAACGCAGCAGCTCGTTGCCCGTGGCTTCTTTCCAAGCTCGCCCGTGGAACCGCACCTGGGCGTGGACATGCGAGTGCTAGACTTTGCGCAGGATCTGTTCCTTAACCAGGCACCCAACAACCGTGCACTGACAAAAACGATTGAACAGTGCCTCGACAGGCTAGGCTACAAGCTGCCCAACCGTGTAAGGACGTCATCTCGCTGCTTGTGAGCCGGTGCTGACGCTTTCCTCGTAGGAATCCCTTCGACGCCAATTTGGCAATGCATTAGAGTACTATGTTATGCTGCGCCATAGCACAGATCAGGCCATTGACAACATCCTCGCCACTGTGCGGCAGAGGATCCAGAATGAGGACGACAACCATGAACACCCAACCACACCAGGTCCGGTGATCGCACGAACCTCTGTGCAGGAATCTCCGCGCAAGAGAGGCCGCAGGGAATGGGACTCCTCTCCGCCGTCTTCTCCAACTAAACGCGCTCGAGCAGCGCAACCATCATCTCCGACGCGATCCTCGTTGCCGTCTTCGTCATCTCCGGTAAAACATTCGCTGCATTCATCGCCTAGTGCCCCACCAGCATCTTCTCCCGAGCCGTCATCGCCTGTGGCCGAGTCATCACGTCACACCTATCCATTCACATCGCCCGAGGATCACCCGCGACCAAGTGAATACCTCCGGAGCCGATGTCCCGCCTGCTTCGGCGGCAAATGGGAGGACATGCGGGTAGCTCTTGATTGCATTGTTTGCGGAGACGCATGCTTCACGCAGAAACGGAACAAGGACCGAGGCTGTCGAGATCCGGAGCGCATGCATCCCAAGTCGTCTTTCTTGTCCGACCAAGCGACGCAGAAGATGGCTGACTGGGTCGAAGGAATACGTCCTCCTCGTTCCGCCCCGGACACAGCTGCTGCACCGACATCAGAAGTGGATGATGACGATGTGATCGAAGCACCAAGCATCCCACTGCCTCGATCTGTGCTTAATGAGTGTGAAAGGTCCTTTGCTGCAGCAGATGAGACCAGAGCGAAGACCAGTTCCCATTTCTTTGATGATAAAGGACTGATGGGCTTGTCGTGTCGTCACGATAACCTGCTTTTTCTAGCAAACATTAAGACGCCCGGTGAGCGGCAGTTCTACATGTTTGCACTACTTGAAGCTCTGTTCCAGCACCTGCCGACTGATTTTGCCGTTGGCTTCCTGTACGACATTGCCTGCCAGTTACAGCGATCTGCAGTCAAATACGAGTTCTTGCCTCCAGAATACATGGCCAGACTGGAGTGGGCCGTTTCCGTCCTGCATTCGTACGGTCATGGAGCTGCGTGCCAAGCAGTGTATCACCCAAGACGCCGCACTCTTTTCGGTTATTCAGATGGGGAGGGTCTAGAACGGTTTTGGCACTCCCTCAGCCATCTCGTCTCATTTCTTCGTGTGTGTGGTGTACGTGTTTGCCCCTCCATCGGTTGATGCTAGCTGATCTATATTCAGTATCATAAGCGCCGCTACACGCTGGATGCGCAGATTGTACACATGCACAAGGGCAACTTATTCAGATTAGGGAGCTGGCTAGCCCGACGCTACACTGATTGCTGTCGCCACAGACAGCACGCAATTGCTGTTCTGGCTGAATGCCCGCACTCTGTATCAGTTCTTCGCGCAGAGCACACCAAACAGGTGGCAACGTTATCCCAGCCATTACCTCGTACGTGTCGATCGCTCCCCGTGTCTAATCTCATCATAATTGCAGGTCAATCGAAGCATGCGGGGAAAATCGCCATACAAGATGTACTACGGAAGACGGCGGCAATGGATAGGCTGAAGAACCAAATGTCGCAGTGGAATGACGCCATCTACAAGGAGGACGCCGATCCGGTATATGTTGACTTCGCTGTCCAGGAGTACGCAAAAGCCGACGCAAAGCTCCTGAAACTTGCGGAATCAGTTCGCAAGCAGAAGGCAATCATGGGCGTCGAAGACAAGGCAAACTTATCCAAGCTAGTGAAGAGCAAGTACATTCAGGCACGCACCAATGCCGCCGCCGCAAAAACAAAGTTGCGCAATCGCTTGCGCCAGAGGAAGTTCGAGCTTGACAGAGTGGAGCGGCACTTCCATCGAAACAAAGCAGGTACGTATCTCTTTGTGGGCCCACGGCAAAGCTCTGAAATCGCTTGAGATGCCAAAATGACGACTCACATCGAGGACGCCGTGCGACGCCGTGACCGAAGCATCAAAGATGTATGCCGGTTGTACAATAGACTTTGCACGGAGTTGCAGGAGCTCATTCGTCTCGGTCGTGCCCCACGCAATGCAATTGCACCTAGACAAATCGTTGAGAAGGACATATGGGGCTTGGATGTTGATGCCGAAATCTGGCTTGACGTTGGCCTAACGGACGCAGATGAAGACACGGAGCCGCCACTATGGATGAAAAGTGACGCAGTTCGTCAGGGAATCCAGGCCATGCTGGAGCAGGACCGCTGTAACGAGGAGGAGCCGCGCTTGTTCCATGAGTGTCGCGCTTTGCGCTGGTGGATGGCCGAGGAATGGGAAGTGCTGACGCGCGGAATCAAGTTGGCTGCAGAAGACGGTACATGCTAGTCGGCTTCAGACTGTGCTTCACTCCGTTTGACCTTATCTCTTTACAGGTGAAGCCGGGATTGTCTATCAGTTCGAGCTTCGCAAGTCCGAATTGACGAAATTGACTGCCGCATGGGAGAAACCACTACGTCAGGTGCCGTATCCCACAGTCGGGTTACCAGCATGGGGCCCGTCCGATGAAGATCTTCTTCAAGTCCGCATCGATGATATGTTTGCCCGAACAACGGTTGGCAGCTGGAAGGAGAGTGATTGGTCATCACATCAAGAGGACAGCGCATCAGACAGCGACTCTGGGACTGACACGGAGTACTTTCCCTACGACGAATTGGACGCTTTCGAGCGTGCCGGTGATTGGCGAGAGCTTCATGGTATCTAAGCACATATGGATAATCGCGAATGACTTTAGACACATGCTCCTTACGGAACTACAAACTATCCCCTTTTTGCACTACGAATCGGATCATCCATATGGCCATGTGCATTTTGCGTCGCCTGTATATCCCCTTTGTATATTACTTATGCAGAGCACGTGTCTAGGCTAATCTATGAACCCACAGAACTAAACATGTCTGAGGTAACCATTGGCTATCTCCTTGGGGTCATGGAATATGTGAAATCGGCCGCTTGGTGATGTACATCCGCGTCAGTTGAATCGAGATTGACGTACTTTTTCAGCAGTCATAAAACTTGTCGCAAAGCTGGTCAAATGTCTTCACCCTCCCTCACTGTGCCCGAGCCTCCGTTATGCGAGCCCCCACGTCGCCGACCAAAGCAAGATCCTCTACCCGCATCGCGGGAGGGCGAAATGCCCTCGGTTTCGTCAAAACGACGACACCACGAAACACAGCGCTGGCCGATCGCCCACGAAAGCTGCGGGTCCATGTCCAGCTCGTCGCTGATGGTTGCGAACGTCGTAGAGAGATTCAGGGCTGCTCGGTCCAGCAGTATCAACTTATCTCCATGGCGCAGTATCGCACCTTCTCACCTAGGCACCTTTGGATGAATTGTGTTCAATGCCGCCTGCGTATTCCGAGATGGTATGGGGCAGAGTATCGGGTCGTGGGTGATTCCTTCGAATCATCATCGAGTCTTTGTAAAGGCTGTGATGAGGCGGAACTTCAAGGGGACAAGCACATCAGTAAGGTCTGCGGAATGATTAGTCTATAATTGAAGATTCCACGCTGAGCACCTCATTCCAGTGCCAATGTGCAATAGACGGCGCCATCGATCTCTCAAACAGCAACTGCCCCCTGCACGCGAGTATGTTGCCGCCGTCTCATAGACCAAGTGGCATGCTAATTTGGATCCTTGTCTAGCGAGGAACCGAGTGATAAAAGACGAAAGCTTTCCTGACGTATTCTACCTACCCATCTCGCGCGCGGACCTACGCATCGCCATCCATGATCTAATGATGTTATGGTACAAGGAATCGTTTCGCAAAGATCTGGGGCCCCAAGACTTTCGGGATCCAGCTTACAGTACTCAGGAAGAGATTCGCCGCCGTAACTACCACGAAGCGGAGTGCCGCAAAGTGATCGACGTGCTCAGAAGGCTTAGGGAGCATTCAGACAAGGTCAAATTTCATCTACTGTGGCAGGTGTTAGACAAGCTCGAGCGCCTCGTACAACAATTCCCTGGTGGGTTGATCTGCCTACATCAGGAAACTTACTGCGAGTTCTCATACATTACAGATCTTGACTTGCCCAAAGGGTTGCTACCTCCGGATATTGGCTTCGTTGGCAGTGATGTTGACGTCAATGTGGAGGGAGACGGTGTCATGAACAAAGAGCCCAGCCAGTCGTCCTATGATACGAGTATCCATCAGCTGGCCGTCGTCAACAACTAGAGAAAAGCGTATTTACTTTGCACCGTCTATAATACCGAGTCCAATCGTCCGTAATGATCGCTGAAATGGTGGGCACGCACTCATTGCACGGCTGCACAGCCCGAGCATTTTTAATTACTCGTGTTTGCAAATGTAAAACTCTTGTGGGTCCCTGCTGTGCATCAACGTAGCGTAGAATCTCAAGTGGGCAAAAGAGGTTTGTGACCTAGTGCGCCAATCAAGGTTTGATACACGGGAACATTTGGTATCACTTTAATACGCGTGTACGGGTGGGCGGCCCCATAGTTCTCTTGGCATCCGTGGGCGGGCCCATAGTTCTCTTGGCGTCTGCGGGCGGGCCCATGGTTCTCTTGGCATCCGTGGGCGGGCCCATAGTTCTCTTGGCGTCTGCGGGCGGGCCCATAGTTCTCTTGGCGTCTGTGGGCGGCCCCATACTTTTCTGGGCGCCCCCATACTTATTTGGGCGGCCCCGTAATTCTGTGGGCGCCCCACGTTTATTTGGGCGGGCCCGTTATTCTATGGGCGGGCCCGTTATTCTATGGGCGGGCCCACACTTTCCCGGGTTTCGAGCAGGTCACATGTGGTGGTCCGCTGGGAATCACCTTATGTCCATAAGAAGAAATCAACATTCGATCAAAACAGATATGATGATATCTACCGCATAAAATGTTGTGGATGCATATGATTGAAGTCACTCATAAGCCCATGAGAAAGCGGCCCCATATATTCTTGACAGGAGTGTCTTCCAAGTGTTTCAAACAGCCCTTATGTACATTCAATGGTGATTTTATATATCCCATGACAAAAGCAACAAGGATTTTTGTGTGCGTCAAATCAATATTATTGCATACACTCACCCGTATTATTGAATAGACTGCAAAGGATAAATTTAGCTCCTATGTACGTTGTACGCCCGTATTATTGAATAGATTGCAAATATATACTTGACTTTAACTTCCCAAATAGGTCAAAAAACGGAAATTTTTCTGGCGCTGCGCGCGCTACAAGGACCCCAGGAGCCATGGGCCCGCCCACATGCCCGCCCAAGGACGCCCGCTGGACGCCCACAAAAATGTAGCTGGGGCCCCCCAGAGCATTGGGGGGCGCCCGGCTGCCGCCCAGCCCACGGCCGCCCACTACCACTGAGGTACCTTTTTTGGGCCTCAAAAAGGTACCTCTCGAGGTACAAAAGTGGGGTGTCCAAGGTGCATAAAGGAGGTGCGCGAGAAGAAGAGACGCGACTTCATAAATAAATGACAAGAGAGAAAGAGACATATGGAAGGAGAGTGCATATTATGAAAAATTAGGCCGCATTCTTCGACATCGAGAGGTCAATGGCTTCCTTGACGTCCTTGAGCGCGGTCTTCCATTCCTCTAGCCGCGACGAGACGTAGTCGCGTTCCTCGATGAGGAGCTCGAGTGGAATGGACCGCCGCAACCGGTACAATTGATGTCGATGCACTCGGTCCGCAATAAACCTTCGGTCGGACGCGGACGCTGCCAATCGGTTAGCGAAGTGTCGCGACACGAGAATACAACTGCGAGACTCACCCGGGGCCGCATCAGTGGTACTGTTGCTGAGTCGCTGCCTCTTCGAGCCGGTGACAATGAACGATGGCTGGGTAATTGGTCAGAAATGTAGTCGCCGCGACTGAGTGAAACTCACGTCTGGAAACTCTGGAGACAGCTCCCTAGAGCCTCCATCTGCTCCGCGTGAAGTTTCGACATTTTGGCGCTGAGAAGACGCATCGACCTATCGTGCTCGTCTATGAGTCGAATAATAGTCCCATAGACGTCCGCGAGCCCTACGGAGTCGTCATGACCAGAACCGTCGACCGATCGAGAACCGGACCGTCCTGCGACGGTCTTGCGAGTAGATGTTCGCGGGGTCTGAGAATAATCAACCTGTGTTCGGCAAAGACTCAAGACGGACGCACCTTCTCTTGAACAGGAGTGGGGGCCTCCATCTCGACGTCTGAATCAATGTCGATGGCAGGAGTTGAGCCTGAAGCCTCAGGAACAGGGTCTTCGGCCTGTGCAACAATATCCGTAAGAAAATCTGGACAAGGACCGGGAATCATACCTTGGCCTTCCCAGACGACGACGGAGTCGCAGCAGGACGTGGGATGCTCTCCTGAGCCTGTCGCAGGCTGATGATCGCCGCGACAAGGGACTCATGCCAAATCAGATAGGCTCGATACTTGTTGACGGCCTTAGTCTGAGAGGCGTCGCGCTGCTTCTCTGGAACTTCCTTGAGCAGTTCCGTCTGAGACAGAGCGAGCGTGGTGGCCTCCTCGAGACAATCCAAAACGTCGCGGGGAGGATCTTGAGCAGCAAACGAGCTGGCTTGAAAGCGGGTCTGTCGACGAAATAAGATAATCGCCGCGACACGCCATCACGAATCAGCTCACTCGAACAAAGAAAATATCCTTGCCAACGCTGAGGATGCCCTCTGAACCACCTAGACCCAGCTTGTTCATCGCTGCGAGAGAAGGCTTAGCCTTCTTCCACGACGCGACGAGCGATGCGAAGTCTTGGGGGAGAGGAAATGCGGACATAGCGAGGCCTGGGTAGAGAGAAAGAATGGGAACGAAATAAGGACTGAGAATGGGACTGGACATAATCTGTCGAGCCCACCCAGACTTTATATCGTCGACTCTGGAAAAACTTTTCTAGTCGCGCATCAGATAAGCCGAGGACGGCTTAGATCTGTGTTCCTGGGAGAGGGCAGATCTTACGAAAGATCAGCCACAGAGTCCGCAGAAGCCCACACATTGGAAATTGAGGTGCGCGACAACGTGCACACCCCTTGGACCCATGTGCTGGAAAGTGGAAAATCCAATGATGCTACTGAGGACGGGGTCCGGGACTTTTTCAAAAATGTTTCAAGAAAATTCTTCCAAGAATTTTTGAAAATTTGGACTCAAAGGTTCACGCGACGACGACTCAGGCAGCAAGATGTGATTTGGATTGATCTACGACGACGACGATATGTATGCAAGATAATAAATAAAAATTCGGGACCGCGACGTTCACGGACGGTGGAACGAGCTGAACTACTGCTCATCCACCTCCATGGCAGTCTCACCCGCGGCGACGGAGCCCTCGTCCTCGACGTTCTCGTCGTCGACGTTCTCGTCGTCGACTTTCCCGTCGTCGGCGTTCTCGTTGCCGGCAGACCCGTCTTCTTCTTCACCCTCCGCGTCTTCATCCGAAGCGGCCTTGGTGGACTCGGCCGAGGTCTCGCTGTAGTTGTCGGAAAAGTCCAAGACCTGTAAGACGGCTTGGGACGACGACGCAACAGGAGGCGGCGATGGCGAAGGCTGGGGCGACGAAGAGGGCGCACGGGTGCGACTACTCGCCAAGTGGGCGACGTCGATCTCGTGGTCCTTGCCAGGTTGGAACGCTTGATCCTGGACGGTCGCGGGGTCCGACTTGTCGAATTCCTGGGCCTTCTCGATCTCCCTCTGGAACTGCTTCTCCATCTTTTCCATCTCGCGATAGAAAAAGGGATCGAAGAAGGCAGGGGGTGCCGCAAACTGCTCGTTCGCCTCGCCATCCAACAAGTCCCCGTGGGTCAAGATCATCCGAACACCCTTACGGATGTCGGCCATCTCGGCGGCGTCGATCTCGGTCGCGGTGTGGACGAACATCGCCTTGATGCGTTCGTCCGAGCCGTCGTCGAAATGCTCCTTCAGCTGACCAACAAAATCGCGGAACTGGCCAATGGCCAGGACGCGGATCTCGTTGGCCGTGCGAAGAAGCCCGCCGTACGCGTCCAAGGTGTCGGCGAGACGGTTGGCGGACTTGTTGAGATCTGAAGACGTCGTCAGAAACGATCAAAAATAGAAATGAATGATAAGAGTGGACTCTTACCGTCCGCGCTCATCTGCGCGATGTACCCGAAGCGTTGCCCCATATACAGCTGCTCCGCGGGCTTGTAGCCGTTGGTGCAAGTCTGTTTATAGAGCACGCACGGGGCGCACCGATTGCCGTGGCGCCCGTCGACGCTCTTGAAGCAGACGCGCTGCCGCGTCACGCACATCGCGCAGGGCCTTGGCGCGACCTCCTATGAAAAGGGAATCAGTCGTCGAGGCATGGCAGAAAAAGATAGAGAAATGCACGAAGTCGGTTGGCACCTCGACGCCGGCCCTCTCCAACTTCCCCGCGAACCCTTGGCGTGCCACCGAAAGGAGCGCCTCGGTGTCGTAGGCGGCGGGAGTGAACGGAGCTCGGGGCGTGGGAGCCGACGCCTTCGCAGGAGTCTAGAAACAGTCAAGTCAGTAAAAAGTCGACGACAAGAAAAGTCGCGACTCACCGAGTCAGATTTCTTCTTGGCCGCCGCAACGGACTTTTCTGCCTTCTGGGCCTTGAGCTCGGCCTTGGCCGCAGCAACACTCCGCTCGCGACCAAGAGTCGCGGCCACCCTGCCCAACTCACTGCGTGGAGTCTTGGTAGCGGCGGGGGCCGCCTGGGCAACCTAGAAAAGAAAGAAAAACGAGTTAGTCGACGTCTGGGACCCAAGATTTGTGTCTCACCTTAGCCACTGGGGTCGGGGTAGTCGTCGCTCGCGGGGCGCTCGCCTTGCGACTGGCCTCCACCTTGGGCACCGGTTGGGGAGGCACGGACTTGGTCGACTTGGACGATCCGTCCACGACCTTCTTGATTGGCTAAAAAAGCTGGATTAAGGGGCGTGGTCTGGAAAAAAAAAAAAGGAGTTGGCTTGCCTTGGGCTTGACGCGGGTCTCGTTGACCTGCTTCTTGGCCACGACGAAATCGCCGGTCTCCTCCCCACTTTCGGAAGTGTCGTCCATGACAATGACGGACGGGGCTACGAAAGTATGAGTAATTGACAGAGGGGGACAAGAGGAAAAACGTACTCAGATTCAATCGCGCTTTCCCCTTGGACTTGGGCCCCTGTCAAAAACAAACCAACCATGAGACGAAGGAACCGCGATCGACGAACTGGGTCACTTACCTGAAGGGCCAGCTCGTCGGCC